AGGGAAAAAATTAAATTTGTGAGTTAGTTTATTTTTATCGTTTCAGGGGAAAAAGAAACACATTTATGTCCATCCTGTAGGTAATCAAGCGTTCCCTTGAAGTCTGGGGTAGTGAAGAATCATTGCAGGAAGCAAAGGAACTCCGCCGTGACAGCAGAGAGAAGATGAAACAGAAGAAATTTGATAAGAAAGTTAAAGGTAAAGGGTTAAATTTACATACTGCAATACCTGAAGTACAGTTCTGTTTGAATTTGTTTCTGCATCTGATGAAAGTATTTAGAAAATCTTCAGTGTGGCAAAATGGAGGTTTTCAAGAGCTGTGTGGGTAAGCTCAGAGCAGTCTGGTCTGACCTCATAGCTGACTATTTTGGGCAGAGGGTTGGAATGGAGATCTGAGGTCCCTTCCAACCTGAATTACCCTGTTGTGCCACGGACATGATCTAAGTGACAGAGATCAATTACAACGGTTCATTATGCTGTTTTTCAGTTTTTTTGGTATGACCCAGAATGTGCTGTAGATTGTTCCTGTTACTTTTCCTGACTTGCAGAGGACATGGATTTTTTGTGGCAGTGGGCTATAATTCTGTCATACATATGCCTTCAGGTGGAGTAAGTGTAAATGAAGGTAGAAAATGCCTTTTCCCACTGCTCACAGTATTCCCAGCTGCTGTTTTTACTGCTCATTTATCCTTGGTTTTTCCTGATAAACTGGTATTTAGGAGAGTATTCAGTGGATATAACTTCCGGAAAATACTTGAGCACAGACAGGCTAGTAATCTTAAAAAAGACTGCACGTTTGTTTCTTTGCAAGAGCTGTGGCTTGCCGCGACCCCTGTGCTGCCCATCGCGCCCATGCTTCCCTTTGGGTCGGCGTTCACGGAGGCAGAAAGCTCAGGCTGGCCGGGCCGGCGTTGCCCAGAGCAGGCAGGAGGCGAGCCTGAGCGAAGAGCCCCTGCCCTGCCCGTTGGTGTTGGGCGCGCAGAGGGGCTGGCGGCAGCCTGACGCCCAGATGCCAGAGTTGAGTGCGAGCACGGGCCGTAATGTGACAGAGTTCGCAGCCTGAGCGGCTTGGCCCGGAACGCGACTACGCTGCGCGGCTCAGTATGCTTGCCACCCCCTTTCAGCATCCGGATAATACCTTGGGCTCAAGCGCCAGCCTCTGCTCTTGAAAACCCGCTGAATTCACTGCGGCTGCCGCTGAGGCAACGCACGGTATTGGGCACAAAGCTTAGGGCATGCCAAGTCATTTGGGAGGCTTACTGTGACCGGAATGAAAAGTACTCCTTGGTCATGTGAAACAATGAGGTGTTTGAGAAAAACTTTTCCTCCGTGTGCCACCTGCCCCTTTTAGATACCTTTGAATGGCTTTGTGTAAAAAGGCAGTGGGCAGCACGTACTTAGTCCAGACGGAAAGTCTTCTCCTGTGAGATCTGATGGCGGTGTAGTTCTTATCCTTTAAAATATGCAAACAAGGTGAAGATTGCAAGGCAAGTCAAAGCTTGTTCTTGCAATACCGGATTCTTGCCCAAATTCTGGAAGGCAGGCAACAAGCAAATCGTCATCTGTAGTCCTCAGAAAGGTGGTTAGCTTGAGTTTTCTTAATTTTAAAAATCTTAAAATTTTCTCCTGTTTCTCATCAGAACTCCGCCGCGCTGTGAGGAGTAGTCTGTGGAAGAAAGGAGCTAGTATCCATGAACATGAGTATGGACCAGAAGAAAACATTGATGAAGATACATATAAAAAGACTTGTACTGTATGCGGCCATGAATTAACTTATGAGAAGATGTAGTGTTAATCGTCTTTTTTTTTTTTTTTTTAATTTCATTATCTTTTTAATGGTATTTTGTATTAAAGTCAAATAAATGCGCATTATGAACAAGCTGTTGCCAAATTCTGTGAAGAATGATGTTCCTCGGTTGTAGGAAGCTGTGTACAAAACCATAAGCTTTGGCTTTCAAGCTAGATTTTTGGGTAGAATAGAACACATTTTTAACAGTGCAATAAACTGGTACCTTGTAGGCCAAAAGATAAGTTGGTATCATTCATTCTCCTTCATATGCCGACGAAATGAAGGTGAACTTCCCTCGGAGGAGGAAGGCTCCATCTTCTGTCCTGCCTGGGTTCCAGCTGCTGCTGCTGGCGCTGGGTGGCAGAGGGTGACGCTGACAGAGCACCTCCTGGGGGGGCTGCGGACACCGTCGCCGGGCAGGGTCCCCCCTGCTTGGAGCCGGAGACTTAACGCCATTGAAGGGGAATTCTGGTTGGGAAAGGGGAATTCTCTCCCAAAAGGAAAGCTGCGTGCTCCCGGGCGGGTTCTGACATGTTTCACAGGGGAGAGTCCTTAAGTGCATCCTCTGCTGCGTTTTTTCCAAGTTTCGGACCAGAGACTGAGGCGACTGTTACAACTTCACCCTGTTCATTTACACGTTTCTGACAAATACCCGTCCTCGGGGGAGGGGGGTGGCACTCCAAGGCCCATCTCTTCGTGCACCCCAACGGCCTTTGCTCTCAGCGGAGGGGGGAATTTGCTGTCGAGTCTCCGGTTCTCGGACCTGTTGTGGTATGCGGGTGGAAATGGCTGAAGCGAAGGGGCGGGCTCGAGGCAGCAGCTCCATGTTTGCTTGCCGTGGTAAATAGGGCAGATCTTGGCGAAGGCTCCGGAGGCTTCTTAGGGGAACCCGGGCCACTGTGGCCGTGCAGAACGGCAGTGGTACAGGAGGAGAGGGGCCTGGGAGGGCGGACGATGGATCCGCTAATGGGCCGTCACTGCCCCAGCGCTCTCCCGTGGTCTCAGCCCACGGTGACCTGCCTTATCATAGAGTCACTGAGGTCGGAAGGGACCTCCGAGATCATCGAGTCCAATCGTTAACCTAACTGCCAGGTCCACCTCTAAACCATGTCCCTAAGCACCACATCCACACGGTTTTTTGAACACTTCGAGGGACTGTGATCACACCACTGCCCTGGGCAGTCTGTTCCAACGCCTAACTACCCTTTTGGTGAAGAAATTTTTCCTAGTATCCAACCTAAACCTTCCCTGGCGCAGCTTGAGGCCATTTCCTCTCGTCCTATTGCTTGTTACTTGGGAGAAGAGACCGACCCCCACCTCACTACAGCCTCCTTTCAGGTAGTTGTAGAGAGGGATGAGGTCTCCCCTCGGCCTCCTCTTCTCCAGGCTAAACAACCCCAGCTCCCTCAGCCGCTCCTCGTATGAC